GGTCAAGTTTAAGAAGGAAGGATGGGAGGGAGAAAAAAGAAAAGGAAGGAAGGGAGGTGAAGGAAATGAAAGAAAAGGGAAGGAAGGAATGGGTCAAGTTTAAGAAGGAAGGATGGGAGGGAGAAAAAAGAAAAGGAAGGGAGGGAGGGGAGAGAAATGAAAGAAAAGGAAGGAAGGGAGAGAAAAGAAAAGAGAAGAGAGGGGAGGGAAATGAAAGAAAAGGGAAGGAAGGAATGGGTCAAGTTTAAGAAGGAAGGATGGGAGGGAGAAAAAAGAAAAGGAAGGGAGGGAGGGGAGAGAAATGAAAGAAAAGGAAGGAAGGGAGAGAAAAGAAAAGAGAAGAGAGGGGAGGGAAATGAAAGAAAAGGGAAGGAAGGATCAAAGGGAGAAAAAAGAAAAGAAAGAAAGGAATAAGAGAGAGAGGAGAGGGAAAGGAAAGGAAGGAAGGAAGTTGTTGAGTTTAAGAAGGAAGGATGGGAGGGAGAAAAAAGAAAAGGAAGGGAGGGAGGGGAGAGAAATGAAAGAAAAGGAAGGAAGGGAGAGAAAAGAAAAGAGAAGAGAGGGGAGGGAAATGAAAGAAAAGGGAAGGAAGGATCAAAGGGAGAAAAAAGAAAAGAAAGAAAGGAATAAGAGAGAGAGGAGAGGGAAAGGAAAGGAAGGAAGGAAGTTGTTGAGTTTAAGAAGGAAGGATGGAAGGGAGAAAAAAGAAAAGGAAGGGAAGCGAAAGAGGGAGGGGAGGGAAATGAAAGAAAAGGAAGGGAGTGAGAGAAAAAAGGAAAAGAAAGAAGAGGGGGGAGGGAAATGAAAGAAAAGGGAAGGAAGGATCGAAAGGAGAAAAAAAGAAAAGGAAGGGAAGGAAGGAATAAGAGAGAAGGAGGGGAGGGAAAGGAAAGGAAGGAAGGAAGTTGAGTTTAAGAAGGAAGGATGGAACAGAAAAAAAAGGAAGGGAAGGGAGGAGGGAAATGAAGGAAGGAAGAGATTGAGTTTAAAAAGGAAGGAGGAGAGAGAAAAGAAGGAGGAAGGAAGCTGGGAAAGAGGGAAGGAAGGAGAGAGGGAGGGAGAGAGAGAAGGGGAAGGCAATGGAGGAAAGGAAAGGAAGGAAGGAACGGAATGTGAAAGGGAAAAAGAGGAAAAGAAGGAGTGGCAGAACCTGGGGGTGGAGTAGCTACCAGTGAACGCAGCCCAACCTCCCGGAGCCCTTCTCTTACTCCAAGTGGCCGCTAAGGGTTAGTTGAGAAGATTCCTATGCCTTTGAGCCATAAATCGGTTTTTATGGGACCTTCATTTTCTCGCCTGCTGGGAGTCAGAGACGAGAGTCCACGGGATTCAAGGAGGCTGCGACTGAGCTCGCTTGCGGCTACGTGGGGATGGCTAGGCTAAGGCCTCGTTTGACGCCACCACCTGCCGTCCTTCTCCTAGGGAGGAGGCTTCTGCAGAGCCACCCGTCTCTTGCACCCTCGAGATTTTGGCATCCTCATCTTCCTCCCCAAGCCGGTGCCTTCCTCATCTCTTCCCATAGTGAAANTCTCTGTCTATCTGTCTGTCTGTTATGCTTTAAAATAAATCAGAAATAAATCAGTTACTTTCAAGTAAGATGGATGGCCTGTAAATTGAATGAATGAATGAATGAATGAATAAATAAATAAATAAATAAATGTATTAAAACGGTCAGAAATAAATATCTCTAAGCCCACCAAATGATGATGGAATGAAAGCAAAAATCATGTTTTGACAATGAGCGGTTGGCAGGTTTTTGGCTTTTTTGAAAAAAATTGAGTTTTTATTTGATTGTTGTATGCTGCCCAGAGACACTTTGAAACAAAATGGATGTCTGTGTAAATGTGCTTGATTGGTTGATATTTAGGAAATGAATTTGATGGCTGTGAAGTAGGATTTGGTGCCTTTTTTGTGAATCAACCTAGAATTAAACCCCTTTTTCGAACCCATCCTTGGCATTCCGATGTCCCCGTTTCCCATAGTCTCCGAGCATGCTATCCTAAACGGGTCCTATCCTGTCATCCTCATTTAACAACCCCATAATCTCTTGAAGGGTGGAGTCTGGGAAACTCAATGGAGTTAGCAGAGTGTTTTAAGGGCCACCTGCCCTTCGTGTCGCCAATGCGGAGTTTTGTTCGGCACTTATATTCTCATCGTGCCCAGAGAGAGAAATATCTGCCTCTACTTGGGATTGAACTCACAGCCTCCTGATTGTGAGGCGAAAGCTCCACCGCTAGGCCACCACACCGCTCAAACGGGCCCTATCCTGTCCTAAATATGAAAAGCCACAGGGCCCTCTTGGAGTTATGGGTTGAATTTCTTTTTACTGTTTTTCCTCCTTCTGCAGAACCGCCAACTGGTCAAGGATGGCTTCTTGGTGGAGGTGGCCGAAGGGTCTCGGAAGCTGCGCCACGTTTTCCTTTTTACAGACGTTTTGCTCTGCGCCAAGTTGAAGAAAACGGGCGTCGGGTGAGACTCGGGGTGTGGGGGGGGGGAAGAGGAGCCTGTAGGATGGGCAGCCGTGAATAGAACGGAATGGAACAGAATCCGAACAGAACAGAAATGAAATGAAGCAGAAACATAACAAGAACGGAAGAGGGACAGAAACAGAATAGGATTTGGAATAGAATAGGAAAGGAAAGGAAAGGAGAAAGGGAAGAGGAAGGGAAGGAAAGGGAGAAGGAGAAAGGAAAGCAAAGGAAAGGGAAGGGGGAAGGAGAAAGGAAAGGTGAAAGCTAAGAAGAAAGGAAAGAAAGAGAAAAGGAAAGGGGGAAGGAGAAAGGAAAGAAAAGGAAAGAGAAGAGGGAAGGGAAGGGGGGAAATAAAGGAAAGGGAGAAGGAAAGGAAAGGAAAGAAAAAAAGAAAGGAAAGAAAGGAAAGGGGGAAGGAGAAAGGAAAGGAGAAAGCTAAGAAGGAAAGAAAAGGAAAGGGAAGGGGGAAGGGAAGGAAAAAAGAAAGGAAAGGGAGAAGGAGAAAGGAGAAAGGAAAGGGGAAAGGAAGGAAATGAAAGGAGAAAGCTAAGGAGAAAGGAAAGAAAAAGGAAAGGAAAGGGGGAAGGGAAGGGGGAAGGGAAGGGAAGGAAAAAAGAAACAAAAGGGGGAAGGAGAAAGGAAAGGAAAGGAGAAAGCTAAGGAGAAAGGAAAGAAAAGGAAAGCAAAAGAAAGGGGGATGGCAAGGAAAGGAAAAAAGGAAAGAAACGAAAGGGGGAAGGAGAAAGGAAAGGAGAAAGCTAAGGAGAAAGGAAAGAAAAGGAAAGAAAAGGGAAGGGAAAAAAGAAAGGAAAGGAGAAAGGAAGGGGAAGGAGAAAGGAAAAGAGTGAGTGGGTGGAAGGAAGGAAGCAAGGGATGGAGGAAGGAGGGAAGGAAAGATTCAAATGAAGGAAGGAAAGAAAGGATTAGACTGGATGACTAGAATAAACTAGAGTAGATTAGAAATTGAAATGGAACAGAATTCAAAATACTGTAGAATAGAGTAGAATTTGAAATAGAACAGAACAGAAGAAGAAAGGAATGGAACAGAATGGAGCAGACTAGGACAGAATGTGAAAGAATAGGATTGGGAATTTAAAATAGAATTTAAAAGAACAGAACAGAACAGAACAATAGAATGGGATAGTTTAGAAATGTGTAGAGTTTTCTGGGCAATAATATGGAAAGGCCCCTCCCCTGGGCTCTCCTGGTGGTCCCCCATCCACGATCTGCTGGCTGGATGGTCCTCGGTCCTTCGTGGGCTGGGCCAGAGAGTTCTAAGGTGTGTGTGTGTGGGGGTGTCTCTCCGTGCAGGAAACACCAGCAGTACGAGTGCAAGTGGTACGTCCCTCTGGCCGAGCTGGTCTTCCCGTCCTTGGAAGAGTCCGACCTGTGTCCACACGTCCAGGCTATGCCTGACCACGACCTGGAGGATATGAAGATCAAGATCTCCTCCATGAAGAGCGAAGTGCAGAAGGAGGTCAGGGCAGGGCAGGCGGGTGGCTTAGTCCAACCCAACAGAGGAAAGGGGCTGGGGATGCACGCAGGGGCTCCTCGAACTTACGACCGTTCGTTTAGCGGCCGCCCAAAGTCAGGACGTCACTGGCAAAAAAGGGACTCGGGACCTTCTTTTCACACTTAACGGCCGTTGTGGCCTCCCCGGCGTCACACTGTCAGAATTCACGCCCTTGGCAGCCAGTCCTCGACTTACGACCGTTCACTTAGTGACCATTCGAAGTTACACAACGGCACTGAGAAAAGTGACTCGGGACCCTTTTTTTCACACTTAACGGCCTCCCCAGGGGAGGGTCATGTGATCAAAATTCAGACGTTTGGCCACCGATTCATACTTATGACCGTTGCCGTGTGTCCCGAAGTCACGTGATTTCCCCTTTTGCGACCTTCGAACCGGCAACGTCCATGGGGAAATCCGGATTCACTTAACAACCGGGTTGCCAACTTGCTCAACGGCGGGGACTCGCTTAACAACGGTGACAGGAAAGGTCGTAAAATGGGGCAAAACTCAAATTAACAACAGAAAATTCAGGCTCAACCATGGCCGTAAGTCGAGGACCACTTGTGCTTATTTTTTTTAATTTTCACCCCGTTTTCCAACTTAGAAGGAAACTTCACAGCAACACCGTTAGGAGCAAAGGGATTAACGGAGTTGGAAGGGACCTTGTAGGTCATCTAGTCCAACCCCCACCGCCCAAGCAGGAAGTGAATGAATTACATCCGATTTTGGGATGGTTTTTTTTTTACCAAGTTGTTAAGTGAATCCCTGCAGTCCGTTAAGCGAATCACAGTCACTAAGCGAATTTGGCTTCCGCCATTGATGATGCTTGTCAGAGGTCACAAAAGGGGATGACATGGACACTGTGGCTTGACGTAAATCTGAGTCAAATTGCCAAGGGTCTGAATTTTGATCATGTGACCATGGGGAGGTGGGGTGCTTCAATGGTCGTGAGAAAAACGGCCGCAAGACAATGCCTTTCTACCTTTGAATGGTCACTAAATGAAGCGTTAGTGAGCCGAGGGCTACCGCTATGGAAGAGAATCAAGAAAAAGCCGCCTTGAGTTTCTTTCTGATGCTGCCTTGTTTTCCCCGGGGCACAGCTCCGGTTTTCTTCCGGAATCTTCTCTCAAGTCCTCCTGGGGCAGAGACAGGAGGAGGAGCCTCAGGACTTGGGGATTGGGGAGGGGGAGGGATTGGGCCCTTTTGGCCGAGGGTCCCGCTGGGAGGTTTGGATCAACTGTCCTAAGTCGTCAATGTCTTCTCCTCCTCCTCCTCCCCTTCTTTCTCTTCCTGTTCTCTTTTCCTTCTTCCTCTTTCTCCTCTTCCTTTCTGCCTTCTTCCTCCTCCTCTTCTCCTCCTCCTCCTTCTTCTCCCTTTTCCTCCTCTTCTTTTCCTCCTCCTCTTCTTCTTCCTCCTCCTCTTCTTCTTCCTCCTCTTCTTCCTCCTTTTTTCTCTTCTTCTCTTCTCCTTCTTCCTCTTTCTCCTCTTCCTTTCTGCCTTCTTCCTCCTCCTCTTCTCCTCCTCCTCTTCTCCTCCTCCTTCTCCCTTTTCCTCCTCTTCTTTTCCTCTTCTTCTTCCTCCTCGTCTTCCTCCTTTTTTCTCTTCTTCTCTTCTCCTTCTTCCTCTTTCTCCTCTTCCTTTCCTCCTTCCTCCTCCTCCTCCTCTTCTCCTCCTCCTTCCTCTTCCTCTTCTCCCACTTCCTCCTCATCCTCCTCTTCCTCCTTCTTTCTCTTCTACTTCTCTTCTCCTTCCTCTTTCTCCTCTTCCATCCCTCCTTCTTCCTCCTCTTCCTCTTCTCCCACTTCCTCCTCATCCTCCTCTTCTTTCTCCTTCTTTCCCTTCTTCTTTCTCTTCTCCTTCCTCTTTCTCCTCTTCCTTTCCTCCTTCCTCCTCCTCTTCTCCCTGTTCCTCCTCCTTTTCCTCCTCTTCTTCTTCCTCTCCTCCTCTTCTCCTCCTCCTTTCTCTTCCTCTTCTCCTTCTTCCTCTTCTCCTTCTTCCTCTTCCTCTTCTCCTCCTCCTCCTTCTCCCTCTCCTTCTCCCTCTTCCTCCTCCTCCTCCTCCTCCTCTGCAGAAGGCCAACAAAGGCCAGAGCCGAGCCATGGAGCGTCTCAAGAAGAAAATGTTCGACAACGAGTTTTGGCTCCTGCTCAACTCGCCCTCCATCCCCTTGCGGATCCACAACCGCAACGGCAAGGTAAGGCCGGCCGAGTAGAGATTGGGGAGCAGGAGGGGAGGCTGGGTGGAAGGGGGGGGCTGCTGGAGCTGCTCAGGGGGGAAGCACATCTCCTCCTCCTCCTCCTCCTCCTCTGCAAACCCCATTCCCTTCTAGCACTGATGATGTTACCTAGTTAGGTCACGAAACGTCTGCAAACATCTTCCTCTCCTCCTCCTCCTCCTCATCTTCTTCTTCCTCCTCCTCCTCCTCCTCCTCCTCCTCC